GGAAGAACTCCCTGTAACCAAATAAGATTGAAAAGGCGTAATAGGACTGCAAGGGCTGACTGATGTAAATGTTGTAGCATAAGAATATGAATGTCGTTGGGCCCAGCTGCCGATGATCAGTTGTCCCCAGTTCCTGAAGTGTAAAAGGCACATTATACTGTTTTTCTCTGAGAGAAGAAAAGTCCAAGGGTGCTAACTCTCTGGCAGACTTTGAGAAAAGAAACGAGGGGCAGAGATGGAGCCCCTGAAAAATACAGACCAGATGATTGCCAATTTCATTGGCAACATCTAGTGGGTTTGCTATATCAACACCGGCAAATTGCAGAACAGGAGCCGGGTCAGGAGAATATTTACCACTCAGTTTTCGTACTTTTTTCCAGACTGCACTCATAGAGGAAGCAGAGGTGATGGTGGAGACATAATCTCGCCAGCAAGTGCGTTCATCACGACGGATGACACGGCGAGCAATCGCACGCTTTTGCTTAAAATCAAGAAGTCTCTCCATGGTTTTATTGTACCGATACCTGCCCCACACAGCGCATTTCAAACGTACTGCACGAGCACAAGCAGGAGACCACCAAGGCACGCATTTCTGAGAATGCCTGCCCGAAGTTTAAGGCATAGAATGAGATGCTGCTGTTAAAACGGAGGACGAGAAGAGGTGTAAAAGCTCATCAATGGAGGACGAAGAAGGAACCTCACTAAAAACAGTTAGCTGTGAGTAAAGGTTCCAATTTGCCTGATCAAATTGCCAGTGTGGGTTACGAAGAGGTGGTGAATATGAAGGGGAAGTAAGAATGATTGGGAAATGATTGTTGTCATGAAAATCCGGGAGAACAGACCAGGTGAAGTCTAATGCGGTGGAGGAAGAGCAGACTGAGAGATCGATGCAAGAGAGAGTATGAGTCCGAGTATCAAAATGGGTGTGAGTACCTGTATTTAAAACATGGAGGGGATGGGTAGCAAGAAAAGCCTCTAACTGAATGCCACAGGAATCACAGTGAGACCCCCCAGAGGAAATGATGGGCATCAAAATCGCCAAGTAACAGAAGTGGTGGCAGTAATGATGAAACAAGAAAGGCAATATCTGGGACAGATAATGCCTGAGAAGGAGAGAGATACAAAGAACAGAGTGTATACCACCTATGCAAGTGGATATGGGCTGCTGTGTAATGCAGCGAAGTATGAACAAATAGCTGATGGTACGAGATATCAGTGCATAGAAGAAGGGCACTTTCATTAAAGGTCCCATCAGGAAAAGGATCTGAAGAATACAATAAATTATAGCCTGAGATAGGATAGATAATGGCAGAGTGTAATTTTGGTTCCTGTAAGCAAACACCAACAGGGGAAAACTGGGAGAGCAACATCTGAAGCTCACCCCGATTACCCCTGAGGCCGTGAATATTCCACTGTAAATAGGCCATGATTGGCAACGATAAAAATACCTGAAATCTGCAGGTAAAGGTACCTATGGACTAGAGGGGTTAGAAAAGTCCACATGCGGTGGCAAAGGAAAACGTTCAAGTAGCGAAGGAACGGTGCATTGTGAAGAAAAGAGTTGCGCAGATGGAGAAGAGGAAAGAGGAGGAACAGAGGGTGGATCAGTGTCCATTGATGGTTTGGTCTCTGCAATATATTCAGAGATTGCTTCATGTGTTTTGGAGTTCAGAGATGTCGTATGGGAGACAATATTGGAGATGGAAGGAGGAGGAGTTTGAGTAAAGATCAGAGCTGTAATGGACTGTACCAAGGTAGGGGAGGCGAAAGGGTGGAAGGAACTGGAGAAGTATGGGAGGGGACAGAAGAGGCAGAAACCTGGGAGGTGACAGAAGAGGAAGAAACTTGGAAGGGGACAGGGGAGGAAGGCACAGTATGAGGAGGAGGATGAACCTCCACACTTGTAACAGAGCCAGTGAAAGGGGAAGACTCAGGTACAGAGACTGGGAAGGTAAAATGTGGAGGTGGATGAAGGGAAGGAGGGGTTAAAGAAGATTTTTTGGGCCTCTGAGAAGTAGAGGGACGATTGGGAGGAGGTGTCGTACGAGGTCTTGTCGATACCGGAGTTTTTGAGGGAGGACACAAAGAAGTGAGGACAGACTGAGGAGTTGAAGTAGGGACGTCTGAGCCCAGGACAGCAAAAGAATTAGATACAGGAGTGACTATGGGACTGGCAACCGCAGAGGAGGCTGCAGAAGATGTGACCCCAGAAGTGGGGGGACGCTTTGAAACACGAGAATAAGAAACATGGGGCAGTCTCCCTTGGAAGTGGAGATGAGAAACCGCCATAGCATAAGGGAGACCTGCTTCTTTGAGGCAACGAATTTCCCGCTCATTTAAGTAGACTTGGGAACCGCGAGAGCACGAAGGGTGAGCCTCATGACAATTAAGGCAAGAGAGAGTTTGACTGCAAGATGTATTAGAATGGTCATCGGCACCACAGACTGGGCATTCGGCTATAGATCTGCAATATTTTGCTGGGTGGCCAAATCGTCAGCAATTCCTACACTGTTGTGGTGTAGGGATCACCTTCCGAACTTGTAACCACCAATGTCCTGCTACATAAACAGAGGATGGGAGTTCATGGCTGTCAAAAGTTAAATGAGCCACATTGCAAGGGTATCATCTTCGCCTGCGGGCAGGAAGAACATAAGTGTCTACCTTGAGAATTGGGAGATCTTGGAGTTCCAGCTGTTCGAGAATGTCAGTGCCACATGTCTGGAAATTCTGTTGGACTATGGTATGGGGAAGAATAACAGTACCACTACAAGAATTGAGGGAATGATGTTTTTCGATAGTGATAGGAATAGTATCGATATGTGAAAGAAGAGAAAGATCATGAGCTTGGGTAGAATTCTGGGCTGTGATGATGCACGTACCACTCTTAAGAGCATGAAAGGAAATATCTCTACCAACGTGGCGTAGGAGCGCTTTGCCAGTACTATGGTCGGAAAATAGGCAGTAGAAGAAGTCGGTCTTAATGTAAAGAATTTAGTCCATTGTGTGGTCTGAAACTGAGTGTGGAGAGGGAGTGCATGACGTGTGGGTCTTTTCCGAGTAGAGAGGGAAGGTAACGAAGTAACATCATTAGGAGATTGTCGTTGACGTTTAGAAGTGGGACCAGAGTCGGTCCGACGTGGGACGGGCTGGCGATTCGAAAATTGCCGCACCGTAGACAGAGAAGCCGGGAGCATAGTCAAAGGAGAGCGGAGATCAGACAAATCGAAGGAGTCAGTGGAAGCCCAGGTACCTGAAGCAGGTGAGGAAACAGCACCAGCAAGAGGTAAAGGGGCCTTAGGAATGTCCAAAGAGTGGCCAAAAGATGAGGCGAGGTCAGAACGGGGTGCAGTAACAATAAGGGGCCCGGGGGTAGTGGGGTCATTTATTGGGTACTCCATGGTTAGGTTACTTCTTTCTTTTTGTTTTTAAGAAAAAAAAAAGAAAGAAGAAAAGAAAATAAAAATAAAAAAAAGCATAAAAAAAGGGGGGACAGGGGAGGGATAGTTCCTAGGAGGAATGAAAGGGCCAGAAATCTCCCTCCACGCCCAAGAGGACCTCAGCACCACAAGTAGTGCAGATGCAGCATGGAACCTGTGCCATACCCTACCCATCATGCCAGTAAACCAGCAATCTGGGATAGCAACCTCACATCTGCCGAGCTACCTCGGTGGACAAAAGAGATGGCGGCCAGATATCTGCCACAAAGCATACCTCCTTCAGCCACCACTCCCGGAATCCGAAAGGTGGCTTCCAGAGATACACCCATTGCCCGAAAGACACCCAAAGCCACCCTCCAGGATACCAGAGAGGGATCAGGACATTCCCAGGCAATCCAGGCAATCCAGGCAAGCTACACCACCACCAAGAACCTCAACGGAATGGGATGGACCCCGGTACCCTTTCCCCTACCTAAGAACTAGCATGCCTGTGGGAAAAAATCCCAGAGGCCAAAAAGGAAGGGCAAAAGGGAGGGGTGGGGAGGAGGAGGAAAGGAAAAAGGGGAGGATGGGGAGGATGGGAGAGGGAAGGGGGCATTGGGGGGTAATTAGGTTCGGTCTGCGGAAGGAGACTGACAGGTCTAATAAACAAGAACAAGAACTAGTAAGAAAAGAGAAGGAAACCCAGAGTGGCCTGTACATGTACGTGTAGTGTGACCTAAGTGTAAGTAGAAGTAGCAAGACGTACCTGAAATCGGAACTAAAATGATTCCTAACAAATATCTTGAGTGCACATGTGTTATTTGCTCAACTTGTCAGTATCATATAGCTGGTTTATAAAAATAATTAAAGGATGAAAGAACAGTTGATGGGTCAGAGAATAATTGTAGGATTAGAAAATAGGTGAGAGGTCAGACAATAGTTGAGGGGATCAGAAAATGGTTGTAAAATCAGAAAATAAATGAAGGGTTAGAGAATAGCTGAGGGTTTGATGAATTGTTGGGGGGTCGAAGAACTGTCGAAGAGTCAGAATAGTTAAAGGGCAAGAGAATATGTGTAATAAGTTTAATATTGAGAGGTTAGTGATCCAGTATGAAAAGTATATGTACCAGGTTGTTTTCTTCATAATACTGACAATTTTTTTGTAACACATTATAGTCTCAGTACCATCCACTGTTTCACTAAGATACATCAATGTTGAATGTTTGATGTTGATCATTAGTGGTTTGCTCATTAAGTTCAAGGCGGATAGTTACATAAGCAAGGGCTCTTGGTCCAGATAAAGTGATATTTCCTCCATTTCCTCGAATCATAGCTTATTGCTTTCCATTTCTCACGCACTGCATGACTTATGGATTTTGAGCTTCAACAGATAATTATAAAAATAATAATAAGGAAGTTATAGAATAAAGACAAAAAAAAGTGGAAAATTTTCAGGCAACCTCTCTATATAACCTCTTTCAAGAAAGATATAATAAAGAGGTTGTGCTGGTATCAGTCTTAAATGCTAGTACGTATGAGTTAGGGTTATATAACAAACTTTTTATATATCGGTTTACTTACGGTCTGTTGGTCTTCAGTCCTTCATAAGTGTAGTCAAGTATACGAGTTTTTCTTTCTTGGATATTTCTGTAAGGCAGCCGTAGAAGAAGAAATTTAAATACATCGTCATGCTTATGTTCAAAAGCTCTGTCTAAAGGCAATCTTCCATTCTTGTCTGCAATAAAAAAACTATTTTTATCACTGACAACTAACAACTGGCAACATTCTAGTGATCCCACAGATGCCGCAAGGTGCATAGCAGTGGAACCAGAATTATCTTTAATCCATCTAGGCATGCCTTTTTCAGTTAGAAATTTAACTACATTGGCATTTCCTTTAATTGCTGCAAAGTGGAGTGCTGTTTGACCATTTTTATCAGTTGCTGATAAAAGGGCTCCATTTTGTAGAAGGTTTTGACACAGCTCTAGTGATCCACAACGAGCGGCAAGGTGAAGTGGTGTTTCCTTTTTAGAATTTCCCTGACTAACTTGTACATCATCATTTATAAGGAGTATCTCACATATACTTGTATAACCTTTGTCAGCAGCCAGGTGAAGAGGTGTCATTCCTCCCAGGTCCTGTTTCACTGGTGATGCGCCATTTTTAAGTAATATATGGGCACATTCCACAGACCCTCGTGTTATAGCAATGTGAAGTGGAGTATTACCATCTTCATCTTCACCATCAAGATCTGTTTTAAAATTAGGTAGAGAAAACAAAAATTTAAGGCAGTCCTTCGCATTTCTTTCAGCTGCATAGTGAAGAATATTTTTATTACTCTTATCCACAACATTTAGATCAGCTCTTTCTTCTTGAGCTACAACACTAGAATTTACAAGACAAACTAAGCAATCAGACAATGCTTTACCAGCTGCTGCAAGAACTGGGGTCGTTCCTTTTTTATTCTCTATATTTGGATGTGCCCCCATTCTTAGAAGCTGCTCGACAGTTTTTTTAAACCCTCTAGTAACAGCATAATGCAAAGCAGTGTTTTCCTTATGGTCTTTTATATTTATATCCGCATTTTTCAATTCAGCACAGCAGCTGTATTGACCCTCTATAACAGCTAGCATGAGAGGAGTTTTTCCGTGTTCTAGTGTAGCGTTTAACTGTTTGTTCCTATCATGAGACAACAGAGCACGACAAGAATCTATATAACCTTTCTTGGCTGCATAATGTAATGGTATATGAGACTTTTTGTCTTGTAGGTTAACGTCCGCTGAATTTTGCACCAAGAGATTTATTATTTCATCATAACCTTCCTCAGCAGCAAGATGCAGGGCACTCATTTCTTCTTCATTTATAGCATTTACGTCAATATTTTGATTTTGAAGCAATATTATGCATATGTTTTGATGTCCCATCTTTGCTGCATAGTGAAGGGGGGTGACATCTGAATTATTTTTTATATTCACATCCACATCAAGACACTGGAGAAGACGTTGACAGCAGTCACCATGGCCACCAGTGGCAACGTAGTGTAATGGAGAATTTCCACTCAAATCTTGTGCCTTGTGTCCGGCATCACTGACATCAGTCAAAAGAGCTTCACAAGACTTAAGAAATCCTTTCTTGGCTGCAAGATGAAGTGGTATTTGACTCTTTTTGTCCTTCAAGTTAACTTGTGCACCATTTTCCACCAAAAGCTTTATTACTGCATCATGATTTTCCTGAGCAGCAAGATGCAAGGGAGTCATTTCATGTATATTTTTAGCATTCACTTTAATATTTTCAGCTTTAATCAGCATATTGCATATATTTTGATGTCCCGCTTTTGCTGCGTAGTGAAGGGGAGTGTCATCTGAATTACTTTTAATATTCACATTCACATTAGAACACTGCAGAAACTGTCGACAGCATTCATCACTGCCAGCAGAGACAGCATAGTGTAATGGAGAATGTCCACTGCTATCTCGTGCATTACATCCATCATCACTGACAGATAAAAGAGCTTCACAAGACTCATGAAAACCCTTCATGGCTGCAAAATGAAGTGGTAAATGATCTTGTTTGTCTTTCAGGTTAACTTGTGCATCATGTTTCTTCAAAAGTTTAATTATTTCATAATGATCTTTTAGAGCAGCAAGATGCAAGGGGCTCATTCCTTTAATATTTACAGCATTCACTTTCAAACTAGGGCATTGAAGAAGACGCTCACAGCAGTTATAATGACCATTCAAGGCAGCATAATGTAATGCAGATTGTCCAGTGTTGTCTTTTATATTGCAATTAGCACCATTATTTAAGCGACTATCAAGTGTTTCTAGCTGTCCATTCTTGGCCGCTAAATGCAGAATAGTTGATGGCTTCAGATTATCACTGTCTTCTAATGATACTGCTGTATATTCGGCCATTGTGTCACCAAACCTGTTCATAAAAATAGGTTTATTAGAACCTTAGTTAAAAATAGATTTATTAGAACCTCAGTTAAAAAATATATATATTGACTCTTAATCTATATTTCTAATGTTTTCCATGACAATTAATGACAAATTAAGAGAAAAATTTTCAAACATTTCATGCACCAAAAATCTCCACTCTGTTAAGTGCCTGGCAATATTGTCGGGTACCAGTGTATATAGTCTTGTCTCTCTTGTCTTAGTTTACAGTTTCAACACTCCAGCATTAAGAGGTATGTAAATACATGTTTCGTATAAAATATAACCCGAGGTAGGATAACAGCTCTTACCCCGTAAAACTAATTTGTGTAAAAAAAAAAAAATGCTTATTTACTGAATCAACACCAGAAATATTTCAGAAGTAAAGTTGTGATTATTTTTTATAATGTAAGGGAAACAGCAGTTACTGCCTAGTACTGAGAGACAAGAGAAACCACGAGAACCATGACAGGAACAGCAACATAAACTCAAGAAAGCTGAAGGTAAAAGCAGTGATTGAAGGAGATAAAAGTTAATAAGCAAAAGGAAGGAAAAAAATGACAAATAAAATAGCAAGAAAGAGGAAAAGATAAACTCTCACTACAGTGCAGCCAAAAATGAAGATGAAAACTGAATAATCAAAATATTTAACTGGAAATAGGAACATGAAGCAGAAGTTAAGTATGTGAGAAGAAGTTTGAAATTATTTGACATTTTCACACGATTTATAACAATTTCTAAATGAATGTTGTTGTATTTTATCTCAATATTTGTGTTTTTTTTGTGTAATAAGATGACGTATTTCAGTTGCTGCTCGATCCGAGAGTGGAATTCCATTATTGCATAATCCCAGACACAAATACATTAATGCATATGATAAAAATAGTGCAGAGTGCGGCATAAGTTTCTAATGTAACTAAATATTAGCATTAAATATATTACTGAAATCAGAAGAAACATTCACAAATAACTGTGTGAAAGCTAAAAATAGAATTTTTTTTAATAAAAAAATGGCAAAATGAGACCCACAGAAACAAAACTCTGAGGTCAGTGGTCACGAAAGGTCATCCTGTTCTAGCTGTCTGGGGGATTAGTGAGGAGCATTATAGAGCACCATGGCTTGCTGTACTGTTTTGGAGTCTCAAGTTAAAGTGTTGAAGGAGGAGGTTCCACTTCTCCATGAGGCTGAAAATTTGCCTAGATGGATTTGGGAGTGAGTGTGTGAAGGGTGGAGTCGGTGTGGAGGAAAATGTTACCAACAGTGAGTTGAAGAGTGGCAACCACTTAAGTGGAATGTGGTCTATACTAAAGGTAGAAGTATCAAGATAAGGAAGCTTAATAGAGAAGATCTGAAGGTAGGAAATCGATTCTCTGTTCTCCAAGATGAGTGTACTTTTGTGCTTAGCGAGGTATTACTAACTCCCCTGCTAATCAAGGTAAGAACATTCTGGTTGTGGGTGACTCGTAAGATATATGAACCATGCTTTCTGTAGCAGAGAGAGGAACATTAGACAAACAGTGTGCTTCCTAGGAGCTGGTGTTGATCACATAGTCAACAGGTTGGATAATATTATGTCAGGTAATGGGCTGCTGGATAAGTACAAGTAAGCCATAGATGTAATTAGGTCTACGGGAGGAGTCCCAATCAAATGTAGCATCTTGCCTAAAAGGGGAATGGGCAATAAATGGATGTCTAGGGCAATTGGTGTAAATTGCTGGCTAGACAGGTACTGCAAGAAACTTGCAGTCCCATTCATTGATAACTGGGACATATTTTATTGCAAGCGTGATATGTATCATTTGGATGGGGTACATCTTTCTGGGGCTGGATTGGTTGCATTAGCCAACTCGACTGAGGGGACCATTGCTGACTTGTCTAGGGCTTTAAACTGATAGATTATAGAGGTATGGGTGTGTGTGGGAAACAATCAAGCTGCAGTACAAGGGTTGGAAACAGTAGATATTACCAGGATACCTCAGGGATATGTTTAATAGACAATATTCAAAATAAAGTAAAGAAAGCAATTGATCAACAAAGAGAGACAGTAGAAGGCAGAGAGTGACTAGCTCCCTTATGGTTTACTATACTAATAGTTGGAGTCTAAGAAATAAGATAGATGAGCTAAGATTACTTGCAAGTTCAAGTAATATAGATATTTTTGTTATAATGGAGACCTGAAAGATAAGAGAAATGCCTTCTGAATGCCCATAAACTATTCCACACTGATAGGGTCAACAGGAAGGGTGGTGGAGTGGCGATGTATATCAGAGATAATTTAAACTGTTGTGTTAGACAAGATGTAAGATTAGAAGCATCGGACACAGAATCTGTTTGACTAGTTTCTCGCGGTCATGACAAATTAATTTTGGGTGAGATTTATAGGCCCCCAAATCTTGATAGGGAGTACAGTAAGCTGCTATGGGACGAAATTCATAAGGCGTCTAGATATGAAAATGCTGTATTAATGGGTAGGAAGAAGAACACAGAGAGGGGGAAAAAACAATAATAGACCAAATACCCAAGACAGAAGAAAAAACAAAGGAGTAAGAGGAAAGAGGAAAGGGGAAGAGGGAGAAGGGGAAAACAAGATTCAGGTTAAGTCACGGGTATTCTAAAGTTTGGAGCATTTTACAATGTATTGGGAAAGGAAGGCATCTACAGAGACAAAGCCAGGACTAAGATTCATACAAGGAAAGTTGTGTAAAAGGGAGGATTCAACCAGATGGCGACTGTGAAAGTTAGACATAGGGTAGACAGCTTGGGCAGAAGACCAGTCAATAGGATGATTGTGATCTTTGACACGACAGAAAAGAGCATTGTTGGTGTCGGTAAGCCTAACACTACTTTTGTGCTCCCTGAGTCTGTCTGAAAGAGAATGGCCAGTTTCTCCAAAGTATTGAAGAGGACAAGATAAACAGGAAATAGAGTAGACACCAGGAGAATCTATAGAAGGAGGAGAGGTATGAACTAGATTGTTGCGAAGAGTGTTAGTCTGGCGAAAAGTAAATCTGATGTCTAAAGAATGGAGAGAGTTGTTGAAATTAGAAAGACAGGAAATATAAGGGAGGCAGAGGACAGAACAGTTTCCAAGAGTAGAGAGTCTGGGAGAGGAGAAAATCCGTTTAGTGCATGAGAAAGCAGGGTCTATGAAATGGGAAAAGTAGCCAAGACGGGAAAATGAATTACGAAGAGTGCAAGTTTCTGATTCAAGGAACTGAGGATCACAAATTCAACAATTGTATCATGCATCTGAAGACCAATGTGAGATGGAATCCACAGCATGTGCACTCTGATTCCACTGTCCACAATACTACCATACCTGTGTCTGGCTTCTGACACAAGCATGCCACAATTTATACCTAATGAGTTGAGGGCATATATGGATGACAGAGAATCAGTTACAATTAAAGTGCCAACCTTAGATACGCTATTTAACAATCTCTACATATCTGTAAGAAAAACATAAAGTTTTTTCAATTAAGAATGTCCAATTTGATATCGGTTCATCAAACAAACTGGCAAATTGACTCCTACACCACTTAAATTCATTATAAAAATTCTTCCCAGAAAGAAATCCTACACTTACTGTTGGAAGCCGATCAGAGATAATATTCTCTAGTTATTGCAACGAAATCACTTCATGAAATAAAACTGGCAAATAAAAATTTACATACCTCAGTGTGGTAAGGTGAACCGTTAATTGGTTGCCTGAATTTTTTTCACTAATTTATGCTTTAATTTCGCTCATATTAAGAGTTCTCATCTAGGGTTTTCAATTTTTCAGTGTCGGTATATGGTAATTATAGCAAGACTCTAGGAACACTTGGCATGTGCAGGTGTACTATGGCGGAACACTTGGTATGTGCAGGTGCACTGTGATGGAACACTTGGCATGTGCAGGTGCGCTGTGACGGAACACTTGGCACGTGCAGGTGCCCTATGATGGAACACTTGGCATGTGCAGGTGCCCTATGACAGAACACTTGGCATGTGCAGGTGCCCTATGACGGAACACTTGGCATGTGCAGGTGCCCTATGGCAGAACACTTGGCATGTGCAGGTGCGCTGTGACGGAACACTTGGCATGTGCAGGTGCCCTATGACGGAACACTTCGCATGTGCAGGTGCCCTATGACGGAACACTTGGCATGTGCAGGTGCGCTGTGACGGAACACTTGGCATGTGCAGGTGCCCTATGACGGAACACTTGGCATGTGCAGGTGCCCTATGACGGAACACTTGGCATGTGCAGGTGCCCTATGACGGAACACTTGGCATGTGCAGGTGCCCTATGATGGAACACTTGGCATGTGCAGGTGTACTGTGACGGAACACTTGGCATGTGCAGGTGCACTGTGACGGAACACTTAGCACGTGCAAGTGCCCTATGACGGAACACTTGGCATGTGCAGGTGCGCTGTGATGGAACACTTGGCACGTGCAAGTGCCCTATGACGGAACACTTGGCATGTGCAGGTGCGCTGTGACGGAACACTTGGCACGTGCAAGTGCCCTATGACGGAACACTTGGCATGTGCAGGTGCGCTGTGACGGAACACTTAGCACGTGCAGGTGCCCAATGACGGAACACTTGGCATGTGCAGTGCCCTATGACGGAACACTTGGCATGTGCAGGTGCCCAATGATGGAACACTTGGCATGTGCAGGTGCACTGTGACGGAACACTTGGCACGTGTAGGTGCCCTATGATGGAACACTTGGCATGTGCAGGTGCCCTATGATGGAACACTTGGCATGTGCAGGTGCCCTATGATGGAACACTTGGCATGTGCAGGTGCCCTATGATGGAACACTTGGCATGTGCAGGTGCGCTGTGACGGAACACTTAGCACGTGCAGGTGCCCTATGACGGAACACTTGGTATGTGCAGGTGCCCAATGATGGAACACTTGGCATGTGCAGGTGCACTGTGATGGAACACTTGGCACGTGCAGGTGCCCTATGATGGAACACTTGGCATGTGCAGG